TGTACAAAACTTCTTGACAGCACTTGAGTGGCCTGAGATTATTTCTGACCCAAACATCCAGCACTTATGCAATCTGTTCTTAGACTAGGAGTCCACTCTTCAAAGAGGTAATAAGTTAATTGGAATTTTTTTTCTAAAGTGTTTCTACAGAAAAGTAAATGATTTAGAAATAGCATTTAAGTAACCTTATGCTAACAACCTGCTAATATAGATTCAGTGAATACTTAATGTAGAATATATTATAATATATAATATTAATATTATATATTATTATATAATATAAAATATAGCAGATATGGCTCAGCTACTTGGATTTGAATCAAGTTTTGATCAATTTCTCTCCACATATTACATTTATCTTGGAGATTTCAAGTGACATTAGGCTAACCAATCAAAACTACATCATAACCAAAGGAAAGCTGACAAGATAATTTTCTGCTATTTTACATACATCACACTACAAACAAGAAGCATCTATTACGGAATTTTATTTCCACATATCAGTGGAAAATATATGCCTATTCCTTCTAAAGGCATTTGCTGTTTTTTCACAGTTCCTGAGGAAAATATTGCCTGTAGAAGATTCTAGTTAATCCTCTACACTCTCTTGCGCAGATGCATAGGAATGTTTTTAATGCATACAAAAAATAGTTTGTAAGAAGGAAGTGCAGCAGAAATAGCGTATGTGCAGGTGTAAGTTTACACATGCTTTGTGCCTAACAATCTAAATGTGGTATGAAAGCCATCTGTTTTAACATACTGTACCTGTTTGCCATATTTTTCTTCCTGTGAATGTCTAATACTTGTAAGCTAACACAAACCTGTCACAGTCCGCTGACCCTCAGTCAGGTTATTCCACCAGCTGTTAACCTGAAACAGAATTGTACATCAACGCTACTGTAGAGTATTTGCAATTTCAAAACCAGTCACACAAGGTTCTACCTTTTTAAGAATAGAAAGCATTTGAAATCTCAAGTAAATTGGTTTCAAACTTTTTTTATTTCTGACTGGTTTAGCTTTCCAAGTTGGCATTTTCTTGCTCAAGAAGTTATCTACTCTCCTTTTCGTAAAATATCCCAAACCAGATGAAGAGTTTCTTCAAAAAAAATGCAGTTATATCCTTTTACACAACTCCATGGGTTTACTTCTGCTTGTACTAAGCAAGGATCTAGCCATAATGCTTACTTCAGCAGATTAGCCAAAGTTAGTATAAACCCTGCCTCAACTAAGCCTCATCCTAAGGCTGTCTAACATCACACCACCCACCTTTGAGAGATTCCACTTTTGTGCCAGGGTCACTTTTGCAGAGGTGGCTCACAAGATGTGGAATCCACTCCCCCTTGCGTCCAGCTCACCCAGCCCTCCTCCAAGTTTAAAACCCCTGAAAAAGTTTATTTTGAGTGCAGTCAGCCCACAGACAAATTCCAAACCCCTTTCCCTTTCTCAGCTTTCAGAATAATTTTGGACAAGTATTTTATTGATAACTCAAAGACCATTCAACCATACTGATGGGAACAACGTCATAAAAATTATCTCTAGGATGGAGGTGGGGGGATACAAATACTGCACGTAAAACAGACCATTCATTATTTGATAAGTAACAACTTCATTACTTTTTTTGTTTAATTCTCTGCCATGGGATACAGATACTGGTATTTTCTATGAAGTTGTCCAGTACAAGAACACTAAACAAACATGAGTTTTCTACAATACAAGAAGTCGATGCTCTCAGAAGCTACTGGGGGATCCTGAACTTTTAAAAATAAAAATTTAACAACTGAAGATGGGGATTGGGAGTTTAAGCCTATTAACAACAGGGGTGTTTTGGGTTGGGTTTTTTTGTTTTGTTTTTACAGCTAATCACCAGCTCTTCCCCTTTAGGTTTTTAAAGGAAAACAAAAGACACTGAAAATATTGTGTCAATCACAATCTCACCTGCAGTTCATACACACTGAGCAAGAAAGCATACTAGGCCTGGCTAGGACGGAGGTAATTTTCTTTATAGCAGCTCTTACATGGTGCTGTATATTGAATTTTTTACTAAAACAGTACTGATAACACACCACTGTTCTAGTTTTGCTGAACAGTGTGTGAACAGCATCAAGGCATTCCCCATTTCTCACTATGCCTCTGCAGTGAACAGACAGGGTGCTGGGAGGGGACACAACCAGGAAGATGACCTGAACTAACCAGAGATATTTCCCATCATATAACATCATGCTCAGCAATAAAAGGGCAAAGAGGGGATTTTAGGAGGTTTGGTCATGAACTGGCTGGGCACTGGTCTACCCACAGGAGATGGTGAGCGACTGCCTTTGCATCATGCGTTTTGGTTTTGCCTCTCTTCTCACACTTATCCATCACTTATTACACTTTTTTTTTCGGTTGTTGCTTTATCTTTACCCCCAAGTTTTCTTGTTTTTATTTTTCCTTTTCTCTTCTCCTATCCCACAGGAGGTTTGTGGGTGAACAGCTGTGTGTCGCTTCGCTGCCCACCAGGGTTAACCCACAGCAAATGCCCATATTCAAAGTAGTACCACAATGCTCACAATTCACATTACAAAAACAGCTCCTCTAGTGTCCTGCCCAGGGCCTCCCCGCTTCTCCAGCTCCACACTCAGCCCTACTTCCCTTGGACAAGCAGACCTGAAAGAGTAATCAAGCCTGGTCCATCACAAGCCACAGTTGTAACCTTGAAACAAATGTAAAGCATATATGCATGTTTAGTTTTAAATATGCTTAACTGAAAGCTAAATGACTGATGCTTTCAGGATGTCAACTAAATTTATAAGCCTTGCAGGACTTATATTGTTCTCACTGCCTGAACTCCAAAGTACTTGCATGGAAATGTCAGCTCTCAGAGGAAAAAAAAAAAAAAAAAGCCCTCTAAACCCTTGTCTTTGTGAAGTAAAGGTTGAAAATACAAATGCATTTCAGAAGCCAGAGCATTAAAAAAATATATATTATGCTTAAGGTTCAGAATTTAAGCTAGCGCTGCGCTCTTTGGGAATTCGTGTTCACTGTTGACAACACTTAAGATATAGCCAGACTAGATTTTTTTTTAATAGTCAAAAAGCAAAAGGTACCTAGTTTAGATATACAAACCACTACTACTGACCTCTCTTCCCTGCATTTGAGGGTAAAGATGATTATTTTTTCTCCAGTGTGGCTTCTACAGTGATATTATGAATTACAGTTTTCTAGAAGTAATTCCACCAGTTTTTCTTGTGAGAAATCTATCTACTATACTTTTCTGGGAACCTATTATTTCTCCAAGTTAGAAATCAAGATAAACAGGACAAGTACCTGTTGTACAAACAGTGCTCGCAAAGAGTGCCTACACCAGAGGAAAGACGCGGCCGTGTTTTTAGACTCCCGCAGGGACCCACCCGTGCGCGAAGAGGCCGGGCCTGGCTCCGTGTACCTGCTTTCTGAAGTCCCCCCTCTTCTGCGGCCGTATTTTATCCAACCAGTCTGCTCGAGCTTCCTCAAAATAGGTCTGGACCCGCGACTTGAGCGACTCATACTGCCAGATGGCGGCGGACCCGAAGGCAGAGCCTGTGAACTGGGCGAGACGGCGTAAAGGCAAGATGAACGCACCGTCCCGAGGACAGCCCACGCGTGGCTTCGGCGAGGAAGCCCGGCTCGCCCCGGGCTCGCGTCGCGGGCCGTTCCCCGTTGCTCAGCCCTCACCAACGGCGGCACGTTGATGGGAACTCAGGCACCGCTAGCAGACGGCGCCCCGCCACCGAGCCGCCC